TTCCCATTCTATTTACAGAACTCAACTCATTTATATTTCTCAGCAAAATCGAAAGATGTGGCTTTGTTATGGCATTTTTGTTATGGCACCTAAATTTTAGTAGATTAAAGACTTTGCAACAGAAAAATATGGTGGCTCGTCTACCTCAAATTACAATTCTTTCAGAAGTTTCTGAAAAGTGTGTCGTTGGCAAATAATATCGGGATAGCTTTTCCAAAGGAAAATCGTGGACAACAAAGAATGTATTGGAGTTGGTTCACTCTAATTTATGCAGACCTATAAATCCGTCATCTAATGATGAAAAATGTTATTTTATGACATTTATTGATAATTATAGTGTTTTTATGATATTTATTGATGATTATAGTCAAAAAATTTGGGTCTATTTTTTCCAGAAAAAATCTGAACCATTTTCAATTTTTAAAAATTTATGACTCTTGTCGAAAAGGAAGCAAGCAAATTCATAAAGATTCTTTGCATTGATCGTAGTGGAGAATTTAACTCACAAGAATTTGTAAATTGCCGTAAGGAATATGAAATTCAGAAGTAATTTACAGCAACTTATACGCCATAGTAGAATTGTGTTTCAGAAAGGAAGAGTCATATAATCTTGAACATGGTAAAAACCATTTTGAAAAGAAATGGTGTTCTAAAAATATTTTGACCTGAAACTATTAATTGGAGCATTCATAAACTAAATAGAAGTTTCACATTTGCTATTAAAAATATAACGCCTGAAGAAGTATGCAATGCATGGAAACCAATAGTGGATTAATCAGAATTTTGTATGCATTACCTATACTCATATTCCAGAACAAAAGAGGACAAAACTAAATAATAAGGGAAAGAAATGCATTTTTCTTAGTGTTAGTGATCAATCAAAGGTTTATAAGTTTTATAATTCTATTACAAAGAAAATTGTCATTAACCGAGATGTAATTTTTTATTAAAAAAAAAAAAGATTTTTACCATGGAATAGCAATGTTATTAAACAACAAATACCTACTAATTTCGATGGAATTGATGAAGAGAACAGACAACAATTGACAAAATAAATTCCATCAGATGTTCAGATAATATTCCAAGTTCCCAGACAGTAGCAGAAGATAAAGGACGGCTTCAACATATTAAAAAAAGACCTGTATGAATGATCGATTATGAAGTAACTGGAATTGACCAATCTGAGAACTCACTTACATACTTTGCTATATTTTTGGATTCTGATCCTACAGGTTTTGAAGAGGCTATCAAAGATTCAAAGTAACAAAAGGCAATGGATGAAGAAATTGCAACTATTGAATGAAACAACACATGGGAGTTAACTGATCTTTCCGAAGGATAAAAGTCAATTGGTGTCAAGTGGGTGTATAAAACGAAATTGAAGGAGAATGAAGAAATTGACAAGTACAAATCATGTTTAGTAGCTCAAGGCCATAAGCAAGAATTTGGAATGGATTATGGAGAAGTCTTTGCTCCAGTAACAAGGCATGACACGATCAGAATAGTGATAGTACTGGAAGCAAAACATTCATGGCCTATCTTTCAATTGAACGTGAAATCAGTATTTTTATTTGGTGATCTACAGAAACAGGTATTTATTAATCAACCTCCTGATTAGATGAAAGTTTGAAGTGAACATAAGGTTTATACAAACTCAAAAAGGCATTGTATGAATTAAAACAAGCCCCACATGCTTGGTATATTCGTATAAATTTTTTTTTTTAAGGAGAGATTTAAAAAGTATCCATATAATTATACACTTTATATAAAGATTGAAGATGGAGGTAAATTACTCATTATTTGATTATATGTTGACGATTTTATTTTAACTGAAAATGATAGTGCCATATTTGAGAAATTTAAAAAATTTATGATGGGTGAATTTGATATGTCTGACCTTGAAAAGATGCATTATTTTTTTAACATTGAAGTGTTGCAATCTGTTGCTGAAATTTTTGTCTCTCAAAGAAAATATGTATAAGAAATTTTGAACAGGTTTCAAATGAATAATTATAATTTTGTTAATATGCCAGTTAAAATGGATTTAAAACTCATCAAAGAATCTAAAGAAAAGAGGGTTGATAGCACCCTTTAAAATCAAATTGTAGGAAGTCTCATGTATTTGACAGCCACAATGCCGGATATTATGCATGCAGTAAGTCTTATTAGTAAATACATGAAAAATCCAAGGGAGATATATCTTCTAACTACCAAAAGGATTCTTCGATACTTGCAGGGAACCATTGAATATGGATTGTTCTACAAGAATGATGAAAAATCAAATTTATTTGGTTTTATTGATAATGACTATGCAGACAATCTTGATGATAGAAAAAGTATGTTTGGCATATATTTATGATGAGTTCAGTTACGATTTCATGGTGTTAAAAAAACAACTAATTATTTCTTTATCAACAATTGAAACAGAGTACGTAATTGTAATGGTTTGTACCTATCAAGCAATTTGGTTAAAGAATATCCTTCAAGAATTGCATTTTCAGCAAGAATGATCTACTATAATTTATTGTAACAATAGTTCTGTCATCAAACTCTCTAAAAATTCAGTTTTATATAGAAAAACTATGCACCTAGTCATGAAGTTTCACTTTCTAACGGAGCTCACAAGAGGTAGAATAATTGATTTTCTTTACTGCAAAAGTGAATATCAGATTGCTGACATAATGACTAAGCCATTGAAGTTATCCACGTTTCAAAAATTAAGGAAAGCTACTTGGAATCTATGCAATTGATAAGTCCTATTAAACTGACTGTTTGAAGAACTTTCAGTTTAAGAGAGAGATTGTTAGAAATATTTACTATTGTTAGTTAATCATGTTTGTTTGTTTTGTTCTACCTAATTGGTAGAGTTAGTGGAATAACTAGTAAAATTAGTGGAATAGCTAGTGGAGTTAGTGAAGTTAGTGGGATAGATAGTGGGGTTGTTTTGAACTCTATAAATAGAGCAATTTCATGTTGTGAGTTAAATATCAGCTTTACAAAGAAATAAACTCTAGTCCTTTACTTCTCTTATTATTTTTCTCAGTCATTGTAACAAAAACTAGAGAGGTAATCCAAAATCGAACTAATAGATTGGGAACAAAGATCATTAATCACTCCAATTACATTTAAATCCTTATATTGTTCCCTAATCATGGGTTATGCGGGTTAAGTTTGAGCATCAGTTTGCTTCAATTAATGAATTACTCAAAGTGGACATCCTTAATTATTGGTTCATAGGACATCCTCAACTATTGTTCTATGTTAGGCTATCAAGCTTGGATATTTAAACTGGAGGGGAAAAAAAAAGTTACAGAGGTCTACTAGCTGGTGTTGATTAACTATCATCGGACCAATTGTCAATTGTGGAATCTTCAATGAATTTTTAGGGAGATTTGGCTTTTAAGTTTAGAAAAAAAAAAAGAATTGAAAAAAATTGTTTAATGTATAAACCCTATCATATATAGAGTGCTGGCGAATCAAGCTACTTGCGAGCTGTTCGGTCAAACGCTCCGCTCAGGCTCAGTTTGACCAAGTTCGAGTAATTCAATACAAAAATTAAATCGAGTTCGAGCTTGTCTCGGTGCTATTTGAGTGCTTGTCGAGTAGCTCGATTAATTTTATTATTTATATAATATATTTATTTTGATTATGAAATGACCAATACAGGTTTATGTTTTAAATAATTTACATGAAGTTTTGTATTTCGAGTTTTCAAGTATTCGAGTTTAATAAGGGTTGAAAACAGTATTAAACTTATCAAATCGAGTTCGAGCTTTAATTGCTCTTTGCTCAAGTCGAGTTGAGCTACATAAGTTTTTGCTCATTCAAATCGAGTTCGAGTTTGAATAGACTTGCTTATCATCAAATTCGAAATTGAATATAGCATTACCTGAGCTTGACTCGACTCATTATCACCCCTAGTCATACATACTCATACTGTACAAAAATGGAAAAACTTATTTACAATTGTATAATGTTTGATGGTAAGTAGTTAAGCTTGGTATCCTTAGTTATGATTAGAGGCATCCCATTCCTCATCATTAGACATGTTAGTGATTAGGGTTTGGTTTAGATTACTTATTTAGATTTACACTCACTAAATTTATTCATATTCAAACTCTGATCCAAATCCTCACAATAGATAGAAAAAAGAACTAGATCGAAACTATCGTGAGCATGAATACTCAATGCCTATCCATACTACAATTTGATTAGTATGTTCAAATAATAAAATTAATATTCGACAATGTGCATTAAAAAAGTATGACTAATAATATGAAATCATGTCAACCAATTATATTTTCTTGGATTATATGTTTCTTGACTTTATCTAGACTCACGAATCAATTTTGATAGAATCTAATTTGAACTTTAGAAGTAGGATGGTGATTTCACAGATGAATTCAAGGAACTGCTCCTCTCTCTTTATTTGAGAAAAATGTAGTTCTGGTACCCAAATTTTGACACATGAGTAGTTTTAATCCCCCAACTTTGGATAAAATAAATCTGATTCTCAAACTTTCAATATTTGAGCACATTTAGTACCCTTGACAATTTTTTTTCCAAAATACTATTGAAAAGGGTCACATGATAGTAGCATATCCAACAACTATTGCATAAAAAAAATGCCAAAGAAAAGTAAAATATTTTTCTGACACTAAGTACCAAGAAAGATATTTTAAAAACTTTAATCATTTACCCAACTCTAGTCATTTTATTCCTTTTCTCCTTCTTTTGCTGTATTTCATCTTCACCTTAGTGTCAGAAAAATATTTGACGTTGTTGTGGCATTTTTTATACAATATTTGCCGAACATATGACTATCACGTGAAAATAATTTGGAAAAAAACCACTAAGGTTACTAATTGTGCTCAAATATTGAAAGTTTGGATACCAAATTTATTTTTGTCCAAAATTTGGGGATTAAAACTGCTCGTGTCAAAATTTGAGTATCAAAACTATATTTTTCTCCAGGGCTGGCGAACCAATTGTCTTCACCAATGCCAAGGCTGTTGGTTCCATGCAAGGGAACTACAAGGCATACTCGCATCTCGAAAACACCAGGGAACTACAAGGCATACTCGCATCTCGAAAACACCCACAAAGCACAAGACAGCGGTACCATTGTCACCTCTTTACCAAGAACAGGCACAATTTGGCTGAAACCATCAGCATATGCAATCGTAAACCATAAAAATCTCGTGGGCATCGATTGCCAGAATCTCATCTCATCAGATCCTCATGCACTTGTACCTATCTTTGAGTACAAGGTAAACGGAACCAGCCAGCTTCCTGACTTCTCTGGTCTTCCATCTCCTCGACCTTTTACCACTCATGTTCCATATTCACTGTTGCCAGAATCCATCAAGAGCAGCAAGTGTCGAGTTCTCTATATTTGCCATAACCCAGGAGTTAATTTTGTCTCCTTGTGGCGAATGCAAGTAAAACTAGGCCTAAATTGCTTGAAGACGCATTTGACATGTATTGCAAAGGAGTCAGGGCATGTGGTCCATACTGGAAGCATGTGTTGGGATACCGGAAACAAAGCTTAGAGAATCCAGAAAAGGTAATGTTTATGAAGACATGAAAGAAAACATTATACCCCAATTGAAAAGACTAGCAGACTTCTAGGCTTTGCCATTTAGCTGGGAAGAGGAGAAAGCAGGTGTAATAGAAGAAATATCAAAGATCTGCAGTTCGATAACTTGGAGGAGTTTAAAGTGAGTGTAACGGACAATAAAAGCATAGAAAGGGTCGCTTATCTCAGAAATGGAAAGGTCGGTGATTGGATAAATCATCTCACACCATCCATGGTGAAGCAACTATCTAGAATAACTGAAGAGAAGCTAAGTGGAACAGGTCTGCCATTTAAGTTTAACCTCCAGGACAAGAGTGTAAAGGGTGACAACCTGAGTCCAAATTAACCCAGTAATTGATTGAATTGATCCTGAAAGATGATAATCTTTGCAAAGAAAAAAAAATCGTTTGAAAAGGATCAGCTAATCTGCTCTAATAGCATGTTGATTCACTATTATTTCGATGCCTAAGTGTAAAAACTCTGTCTGCTAAAGACACATATTGTCTCACTGATAGCTTTTGCAAATATTTACGTACTTTATGACCTGAGATGGGAATGTATTAGAAATGAAGCATGGCCAAATCATCAACATTTTATTCATTAATAATTCAGCAATATACCTCCTATATTTAGAAATCAAGAGAAAATTTTCATGTCTTACTTTCACAAAGAAGGAAAGGTTTCTGCCAGAGGAATCTGAAAGCATAACTTCGCAAAGAGTTTACACTCTGTACATTTCACACTGCAGAAGCATAGACCACACCACACACTATTTTGATAGGGCACACAAAGCAAAGCAAACTAAATAAGTTGTTTTAAACTATCAACCATGTCTCACATATGATCACAGCTAATCTCATGATGCCCATTGCATCTGATAATTCCAATATCTGGAGACCGGAGGTCAGAAATGGAGATCAGTTTGGACCTGAATTTGTCAGCTCCGTCACTGTTAGTTGCCACCACTTGGTGTCCAGTGTTCAAAGTTTCCACTACAACTGAACTGAGAATTGTATCTGGAACAGAGTACGAGATGGCAATAAGCGATTCACGTGCGACCTCCAAAGAAGCCTCCTTTTCCAGGGCACTGGGATCCATAAAAAGCAAATCTCCTGACAATGAAAGGTCCTCAGTAAAAAATGCCAAAAGTCAAAACCACAAGATTTCCAAATAGTTGTCAATTATCTTCTCCAACACCCCCCTCCCCCCCCAAAAAAAAAAGAAAATGTACAAAAATAAATTCTAGGAAAATTGGCTAACATATGACAGACAGGCATCATTAGAGAAAATATGCTTAGATAACAAAAATAAGTACCAGAAAGCAAATTGATAAACAGGGAACTTATCATTTAGTACATAGTCATGCAGTCAGACATCCTTGAGACATGTATCTCAGAAGTTCAGAAAAACTAAACTCACATTTACTGCTCTAGTCAAGTCCCATCTGACAGGCAAATTAGAAAGCCAATACATATCGACAACAACTAATTTTCTCTTGCCAGAATTGACTTGATGTAATTACAGAGATGTAAGACTAACAAACAAGTGGGATCCAACATGAAAAAACTTTCCGCAAAAGTCACATAAGTAAAAATAGGAATAATAAAGCCAGCACATGCTAAAAGAAAAGGAAAGAAATGAAAATTATAACCAATCTCTACTCAGGCACATAAAGTTGTTCCAACTGAGATATGATTCTTGTACGAATCAACTCTCCACCTTTTACTCTCTTCAGCATCTATGATGCGCCCTTGACTTCATTTGAAGTGTCACATAAAAATCCAGTACCAAAAACAGAGCCGTTTCATGTCTGCAAATCATACAGCTAAGGAGAGACAAGTCCAAGTAACATAGGTATGATCAAACTGGGTACTGGACGCAATTAGCGCGTGGTAGAATGGCAGTATCCATTATGAAAGATAAATCAATCACCTCAATACATATATCTAACTGTGCTATCTCTACCAAATATTGGAAGCAATCAAAATTTTTTGCCTTATAGGATGATTTTCACAAATTGGAAAACAACATTCTCTACTCCTAAGAAACTTGGAACCGAACTTCAATTGAGCAAATCTTGCTACTAATATTTGTCAAAAGCAATTGATTATTGGGCTGATCATCATCATCGTATAAACTAAGTTTGCAAGTAAAAAGAGTTACAGGATCCAGAAGGTAAGGATAACGCATTAGCTACAGAAGATTTCAGCTCATCAGGACAAAGTCTGAAATCCTAAGTCAGAAGTATATGACTTCAACAGTATACTAGCAAGCAAAATTACATCCTTTTATCTCACAGAAAGAAGCCAAAGATACGATTGTGTTGAATGAAGATCTTGAAATACTTATTTATGAAAGAAAATACTGTTTAACTCTTATGGTTTCGATCGTTATCTCCCTTACAACTTATAACTTCTAGTCTTGCCCTACCACTCAACTCCGTCCTTATTTTTCCCAAACAGCTTCTGCATCGCAATTCCTCCTACTCTCACACTCATCATAGCTAACAGAAGGAAATGTTCCTGAAATCCTGCTAAAACATATCACCTGCACCTTCCATTACTCTTTAGAATTAAACAATATCCATTATTAATTTTATCTACACATGTTCCAATAAATTACAGGACAACAAGCACTCACTAAACTTGTTGATTTTCCCTAAACTAAATAAGTCAACTTTTTAATGATCTAATTAACAACTTAGATTTCAGCTAAGGCCGCTACAACAAATATCTCTATTAACAGCTAGTATTACACAAGCTGCCCTCTTACTCTGCTTAAGACTTCTTCTTTATCATAATCTGTTCTGCAATTCACTGCAGTTTCAAGCATCTTGACCCACGCGTGTAAAAAATCCTTCGTCTGACAAACGGTGACGATTTATACAAGATTAATCCGTAAACAAAAAACTCTTTATATCAATCTAAAAAAACACTAACCTTCAAGAATCCTACACAACCTGCAAATTTTTCCTGATTCGTTTCCTTATATTTTTCCAATAAATAATAACCCGCAACTGCTCAGCTGAAAAACAATCAACCACAAAACCCAATTTACAAGTTTTTAAGTTTCTGAATTTCCATCCACAGATTATCCATCTTATCAATATATCCATAAACAATTCTACAAACAAACCAAATATTGGTATCAAATTAAACAAATAAGCTCCAACATAGATCAGAAATCAAAATTCAAGCAAATTGAAACATAAATTTTTGTTCAATTCACAACAAAAACCCCGAGATTTGGGATAGGAAGTGGGAGACAGAGAGAACAGACCTTGTTGGAATTTGTTGCGGCCGTTCAAGAATTCTGAATTCTGAATCTGACGTGGCAATTTAGACGCTTATGTAGGAGTTGGAAGTCAAGACTCGACAGCATTAAAACCCAACCCGAACCGTCAACCGGCCGGTTTTCTGGTCTGGATTAGCTTCAAAAACCTAATAGCATCAATTTTACATTAAATTAGTTGAATCGTCCGATTCAACTACTAAACCATTGAACCGAAATGGTTTTGTGAGGTTTGGTTCAATATCCAACCTTAATTAAGTCGACAATTTTGAATTTGATCAACCAATCTCATTAATGATATTTCAAATTTAATATCTTACTAATTACCCATTCATAATTATCTCTAACTAATTAGACAATAACAATTATAGTCTTATTCTACTCATTTCTCTTGACTCCTCCATAATTACATACTAACTCTTGTCTAACATTTATAACATAGGGTCTTTATAATGGGTGCCCACTGGATGCTCGTTAAAATATATTTCGGGTGCTACATTTTTAGAAATGTAAGATTAATTAGAAAAAAATAAATACAAGAGAAGGTAAGTAAAATTAAATAAGAAAAATACATAAATGCAATGATAATAATTATTAGTATATATATATATATATACATGATAAGTTAGGTGAATTTTAAATGTGTTAACAAGTGCCTAATAGACACCCGTGAAAAAAATTTTATAACATATACAACTGTATTATTTTTTCTTTAATCTTGAATGCATTTCATTTATTTGTTAATGCCTTTTATATTTTTAATTTTTATCATATAAACTAGTGCTCATATAATTTAGGAAAATTACAAATACATGAAATAATATGATTTAAACCTCTAACTTATAAAGGCTATTTTTGAGTTTCAAATAAATAATACTATTTAGAAAAATAGAATGAGAATTGAAGTGATTATCTTTAATGATATGACTTAAGTTTCTACAAATATTAATTTTTTTTAGATATTTAATATTTATTAATAATATTTATAATGTAATTATGACATCACAAGTTAATAATGATTAGTCCGACGGTTGATCCAATGACCGTTGACCCATTCATTTTTGGGTTAATGAGTGGTCTGGGTTTTAGAACCTTGCTCAAGAGTCCAAGTTCCAACCGCTTCTGACCCTTCCCTCTCACATAATCAGAACTCATTGATGACGTATAGGATGATGAAATGGTACTTTGGAAAATAACGGGTCTGTTTGAATTCCTTGTTTTTGAATCTGTTTTTGAAAAATTATTTTTCACATTTCAAATGTTACAATAAATATGTATTTAAAAAACAACTCCAAAAACATCATATCCAAACAATATATCAAAAATAACTCCAAATACATACTCCCTCCGTCCCACTTTGATAGTCTTGTTTTCCTTTTTCATCTGTGCCAAATTGTAGTCCACTTTCCCATTAAGAAATGTAGTAATCTTTCAAATTGTCTAAAATACCCTTATTAAATATCTTGTTATTAATACATTATTGTTATTAAATACTAACCCACTACATTGAATACGTTGGGTTTTTCCAATACTAACCCATTAGCTGTAACTGATATTAATTGGCACTTTTCGTGATTAGTATAAGGGTATTTTAGAAAATTATTAATCTAAATTTATGTTTCCAACTAAATTAATTACACTTTCTTAATCTGTGTGAAGAAAAAATCAAAACTAACAAAACGGGACGGAGGGAGTATTACCGAAATGGTTTGGTCTTGGAGATGGCAGACAGTGCTGTCTCCCAGTGGACGTCAAACCCCATTTGCGCGATCAAATCTACTGCTAGCCAACCAGTACTAGTGGTCTAGTACTATCAATTTCTGATATTTATGGCCAATGCTACTAAATTCAGTCCCTCCTCCTACTCCTCTACTGCTACTAGTACTACTGCTGCTGCCGCTATGTGTAGGGGTGGCAATTCGGGTTCAAATCAGATTGGCGGGTCGGGTTCGGGTCAATCCGTCAGAAAATCTGTTGATCTGAACCCGACCCGCCAATCCGTGACGGGTCAGGTATACTGATCCGAACCCGAAAATTTCAGGTTGACGGATTGACGAGTCGACCTGAAATGATCTGAAACTTAATTTTAATTTATTAATTTATCACTGTAATTTCTAATAAAATCAATTTCTTACAAAACTAATTACATAATCAAGTAATAAAAATTTAAATAAATAATTCCAAACCAAATCTAAAATAAATTAAACACCGTAAAAGTGTTTTATCCCAAACAAAATATAAAATAAATTAGAACAGTATAAAAGTAAAAAATAATATAATATATTATTTGTCCAAATATAATAATTTCAACTTCACACAAATTAAATAAATTCATTTAGGATTAAGTAATTAATGCCTTTGAAAAAAAGAATAACTTAGTTTAGTTAGATAAAATTATTTTTATGTTTATTAAATTATTTTTAATTCGTAAACGGGTCATATCGGGTCATATCAGGTCACAACGGATTGACCCGAAATCGAACTGTTTTCTTTTCGGGTTCATCGGGTCCAACCCGATTCTGACCCGAATTCCCGAAATCTCAACTCAAACCCATTAATTTCGTGTTAAGTTCGTGTCGTGTTTTCAGGTCGTGTCGAAAATTACCACCCCTAGCTATGTGATTAGCCCCGCCTGGCTGCGTTTTCGGTATTAAAATTTCTCAATTTGCATTGGCCTCCTCATCCTATATGGTTATTGAAACATTGAGGACTCCCAAAGTTTCAATGTGAGCAAAAATTGGTCCTAATAGCACACTCGAGGTCTGTTACATGACAAAATTTTACTAGTAATACTTGTAGTATTAGTAGTTACTTGAAGGAATAATAATGTTAGTAATTAATAGTCATATTAGTAGTTAGTAACAGTATTAATAGCTAATGGTAACATCATTAGTCACTAGAAATATTGAAATTACTAACAACATTTAGTATTACAAGGGTTGATTTGGCTAGAAATTGACTAAAAAAATCAAAATTAGTTAAATTTTAGATATTTAATAAATTGAAATTTTGGGAAATCAATTTCAATTGAATCAATGGTTCCTAATGAATATGATATTTAGTGGGCCAAATTCAATCGAAACTAAGAATTTGTACTAAAATTTCACTTTTTCAAAATCAATTCAATTAAAATGTAAGAGTCTCTCTCTCTCTCTCTCTCTCTATATATATATATATATATATATATATATATATGAAAGTTCCTAATTTGATTACCTATTTCTCTCTCTCCTAGGTGGCATGCCTAATTAGAGAGAATTGATGAGTAATTTGAATACTTGGATTTTACCCACATTTGTATCCAACTATTCTTAAACTAATTCTTTTTGTAATTTCTCTATCTTTGAACAACTTAATCATTTTTAATAAAATTTAATTATATTTTGTTATTGGTTTCTTCTCTCTTCTAACAAACTTTTATTTTTATTTATATATATTTAATTTATTTTATCCATACATATCATTTTTATTTGCTGTTTATTAAAGTTGCTAGAAACTTAATATTTGTTTATGGAGAAAATATGTTTTTTGCATCTTTGGTTTTAGTTGAATACACACATATAGTTTTAGGTTTTTAATCATATTAAAATTTAATGATTGATTCAAAAATTAATATGGTACTTGAACACTTAGATACATTAATTTGCTAAAACAAATATTCATGAATATGTAAGAATATTATTTTATTTTTAAAATTTATATAAATTCATAACTAATTCTAATATAAAAAGAAACCATGCTAATGCATGGATTAAAATGCTTGTTTAAATTGAATGTGGCTTTTTGGAAATCAAAATCAGTTAAACCTAAGAGTTTCTATAGTGTTAATTTCATGAAATTTAATTTAGTTAAATTTAAGAGTCTGCACTAAATTCAACTTTCAACAAAAGAAATGTGGCTTTGGGAGTTTGATAGGATCTTATGGTTGACATTAATACTAGTAGCTAGTACTAGTTATATTAAAAACAGTCCCAATTACTTGTAATATAGGTAATATTTATAATTACTAGTAAAATTATCAATATGCAGTTGCTTGTAATGTTAATAATAGTAGTAATTAAAAGTAATATTCGTTTTTACTCGAAATATTAGCAGTATTAGTAGTGACTAGTAGCATTGGCAATTACTAATATATATTAGTAGTTAATACTAAAATGAGTTATTACTAGTAACATTAGGAATTATAAGGTTTGTTAGTAAATTACTAGTAACATTAGTCGTGTTCACTTAATTGACTTTTACAAAATCAAAGTTATATTAAACTTAAGAGGTTGTAAAGAATTTTCAGCAAAATATAGAAGTTTTTTACTGGTTATGATTTTTAGCAAATCAAATTTAGTTAAACTCAAGAGGTGGTACTCAATTTGACCTTAAGGAAATCAACCTTAACTAAACTTAGAGATCCTAGAATAAGGACGTGGCCTTTATGAGTTCGATAGTGTCTTAATATGAGTAGTTGCCATTACTACTAGTGTGATTACTAGTTACATTAGCAAAAATAGTAAGTACTAGTCCAATGGCCATCACGTCAATTTGGTAGTCATAATAAAATTGTCTTGAAATGTTTGGGCTTTGGCAGCCAACGACCCACATATTTGAGCAGCTGAAAAACAATATCCAATGGCCCCAAGTTGGATAGTGTCACTTGAAATTTTCAATCGATTTTTTCTAGATCACTGATTTTTTTGTTTTTTTTTTCTCGCAATGATAACATTTGTATAACCTATTCTAACCTAGTTTAAGGGGAAGAAGAGCCAACGGGAAATCCCGTCGGAGGAAGCCACTTGAAAGTGACAGTCACAATTAAGTGGCAAGGTAGGAGACAAGGTTGAACACTTAACCTCTCACCCCCATCAAGACTTGGTGGTACAACAGCCCAAAAGGTTGTTGGCAGATCATTAGTTTAATTAATGTTAAAATCTTTTAGGTTCAAAAGAAAACTTTAACCCTTTTTTTTTTGTAGTATAAGTGAACCGAGACCCCTCACTTCCCGCATATCACCTAACCCATCCCTTCTCGAAAACAAAACTTTAGAAACATAATGCTGAATGCAAAAGCTAGTGATTTTCCACTGCCTTCAATTTTATGCATATTCAAAAGAAAAGTTATGTTGTACATCTGAGGAATGCGTATCTAGGAACTTAGGATTTATCTCTATCAATAATGTTTAG